TGTTCCACAACCTACGTTAGTGAGTAGCGACTGGGGTCTTAAAAGCTTTCAAGCAGCCATCTAAGATGCAGCTAATGGTCTCCTACCATCGGAAGCGAAGAACAGTGCAAAAAACCAAGGGTATTTGAAAGCAGTCAGTCCTAGGACATCATGGACCTTGAGATCAGAAGAACCAGTTGGTGCCTGGCTACCAGTGCCAACCACTCAGGAAAGGATCAAAACTGGAGATCCTGGATAGAGTGTGTGTGGGGGAACATGGAACAAAATAAAAAAACACAATAATGACCAGAATTATTGGTCAGATGGACTCTGGTGGGACCCCCAAGATTATGGCATTAGGATACATTTCAGGCCTGGCCTAAAACTCAATGCCAGGAGCTGGCTCTCAGCCCAGTAGTAAATAAGACGTACACACAGACCACTCAACCCAGAGTGATGCACCCACATACTCTATAGAGATGCATCCCTTGCAGCAATCAGCCACAGGGCACCAGAGGGGCACACGGAGGAAATGCAGGGCACACAGGAGTGCACAACTATAAGGGGAATAGAGGTGGGGGGCTACCGGGAAGGGAGGGGAGGAGAGTGGGTTAGGGTTGGGGAGTGAAACCAAATGGACACAAAATCTTGAGTGTAAAACAAACTATGCTCTGTAAATTTGCACCTAAAGCACATAAGCACATAACAAAAATCCAACACCCATTCCTGATTTAAAAAAAAAAAAAACTCCACAAAATAGGAATAGAAGGGATATTCCTCAACATAACAAAGGGCACATATGCAAAACCAACAGCCAACACTACTCTCAATGGAGAGAAACTAAAACCATTCTCATTGCTAACAGGAACCAGACAAGCATACCCTCTATTACCACTTCTATTCAACATTGTTTTGGAAGTCTAGTCATGTCAATAAGGCAAGAAAGGGAAATCAAAGGCATCCAAATTGGTAAGGAAGAAGTCAAACTGTCCCTGTCTGCTGATGATATGATTCTATACCTAGAAAACCCAAGAAACTCAGCAAAGAAATGACTGAAACTAACTGAGAAATTTAGCATAGTAGCAGGATACAAGATCAACATACAAATATCATTTGGACTCCTCTACACCAGCAAAGAGATTGCTGAGAAAGAAATAAGGAAATCAAAACCATTTAAAATATCTACCAAAAAATAAAATAAAATATTTGTGAATAAATCTTACCAGGGATACAAGTGACCTGTACAAAGACAAGTACAAAAGACTACTTCAGAAACCATAAGAGATCTACATAAATGGAAGAACATCCCATGATCGTGGATAGGAAGATTGAACATTGTGAAAATGTCAATTCTACCCAAAGCAATCTATACATTCAATGCAATCCCAATGCAGATCCCATCAACATTATTTAAGGATATGGAAAAACCTATCACTAATTTTGTATGCAAAATAAGGTGCTTGCGCCCACCAAGAGGGTTGGACAGCTTGTTGCTGAGGCAATAAGGCACATGGGATGTCTGTGGAGGTTGGACCATGCAAATAAGGAATCCTAAAAAGGGGATTATTCTGTTTTGCCATTCCTATAGACTTAAAAGAGAGTCTGTCCCAGATTAGAGAGGGAACCTTATTATCATTGAGAAGGAAGAGCTGGGAGTGAAGCACATCATTTGGTCCTAGAGTCCCTGTGCTGAGAACTTCCTGGACCCAGGAGACAGAGAGAGTTAAAACACTGCAGATAGCGAGAAGCAGCAGCAAATATGGCAGGGAAACGGCAGCAGCAGAACCAAGAGACTGATGTGAGACAGCATGGAGGTCTTTCTTGGCCCACTGAGCAAGGCAGCTGTCATGAGCATGCCAATCCACAGAGTGAAAGAGCTGAGTGCCTTCAGACAGGAGGCTTCCTGGTAGAGTAGGGTGCCTCTGGACACTTGTTGACAGAGCTAGGCTTGCTGACCCATGCAGAGAGCAAGAGAGCTGGATCTTTGGGCAAAAGCCTTCCTATCAGAGTAGGGTGCCTCTGGGAACTTAATCGTAGGAGCTAAAGAGCTTTGTAACACTTGCCTGAGTAGGGCAGAGGCCACACCCAAGTAGGGCCAAGGGCCAAAAACCCAGAGAGAAGGCCTATCCCGAAGGGGCTGAAAGAAGCCGTGTGTTGCTGAGAGGAACTGACAGTGCTGTCCTTCAGTGAGAAAGGGAGACTTTGCCTTTATGCTTCCTGATCCAAATACTGAATTGTATGTAGCCTGTTGATTCTGATCCTGATACTTCTCATAATCATGAGTATTGTCTGTGAGTTCTATGTAGCCATTGCAAAAAACTACAGAACCCAGCAAAGAAGTAGAGAGTGCTGTAAGAGGGACAGCTGGTGTCTGAACTGGTAAAAGACTGGAGAGAGGAGGTATGTTTGACCTCCACCTCATAGGAAACTCCTTTAGGCAGATGCTATTGATGGTGATTCTCTCTCCCCCTTGTGAAGTCAGGCAAAGAGGTCAGATGCTGCCGCACCATTTTTCCAATTAAACAAAAGGTTTGTGATCCAAACCCAGTCAGAAGTACCTTTTTACCAAGAAGACAGACTTGGTAATCTGCTTCCAAAAACTCATATCCTTGAAGAAGACTGTGTGGAGCAATTCTACTCTGCACAGAAGAGATCACCATGAGTTATAATCAACTCAACCGCAACTAACAACAATATACGATTTCACACTCCAATATGCTCTAATTTTAAGTTTTTATCCTCAAATCACCTCCTCTGAGCCACAGAAATCACACAGAATTACTTTGCCTCTAGTAAAAATTCATAATAGCTTTTCAGTAGAAAAAGACCCGATCCGCATGGTGATCTGTGACTTAATCAGCCAGATCTCACAACTTCTCTTTTCTCATAAAAAACACCCATCCTCCCCTTTTCCTCTAACAGGACTCTGCAAACACAGAACCTCTAGGTCACAGTAGCTTTGGACCTCTATATTCACTGGGCCTCACAGCTACTTCCTTCTCACAGATACCCTTGTTTGGAAATGTGAGATGTTCACATTCCCAGTGAAGACAGGTCCAGAGTTCTTTTAAAATTTTAAGTCACAAAATACACCAGTTCAAGTATTGACACAACCTTTACCACTATCTCTCAGAATTATAATCTTCTGAATAATAAGATAAAAATAAAAATAAATTTTCAATAAAAATTGAAAAAGAAGAAAAAGAGCTTATGCAAAAGATCACATGGCAGAGGGTAAACTAATAGTTCTCAATTAGAATAATAGGCAGCCTAGAAATTCAGAGTCAGAAGAAGGGATTTAGTATGGTTATACCATTTCTCTACTTTGTGCTTTTGTGCTTTCTCTATTTTGAAGGCTCAAACCAAATAAATACTTGTTCTAATAATTAGAAAACTGGAAAATTACATTTAGGAATTTCCCTTAAGGAAATAATGTGCAAAGCAAATGAAAGCTTTGTCTAACCATAAAAAAACAAAAGCAAAAATACATACATGTATATATATACCGGAATGTTGATTGCTCATAATAGAAGCAATCTAAATGTCCAACAGGAAATTAGTTAAATAAAATTTGCTCATATTATGCAGTAATTTAAAATAATGATATAAATGTAGATGTATTTGTATTTAGATGTTTGCAATGTATTAAGTGATTAAAACAAGTTATAAATTAACATAATGTATATTTATATTGGAAGCTCAGGTTGTGTAGTGCCTAAGACATTTGACTGGTGGTTTAAACCCACCAACCATTCCTCAGAAGGAAGACTGGGCAATCTACTTCTGTATACTGGGAAATACTTCTGAGATACTGCCTTGGAAACCCAAGGAGGGGTTGCTATGAATCAGGATTGACTCAAAGGCAGTGAGTTTGGAGTGTGTGTTTTTTTTTTTTTTGTATATTTATATTTACAAGCACAAATAGAGGGGACCATCTGGAAAATATAAATGAAAAACCAAACCAAACTCTCCTTGGGTTTCCAAGGCAGTATCTCTAGGGAAAAAGATTACCCAACCTTCCTTCAAGGAGTGGATGGTGGGTTTGAACCACCAGCCTTCTGGTTAGCAATCAAATGCCTTAGGCACTAGGCCACCAGAGCTCCCATATGCCACTAGAGCTCCTGTGCGCCACCAGAGCTCCTAGAAATCATATACCAACAGTTTATTCTCATCTATATATTTTCTTATTATTATATAATGACCATACATACTTACTTAAATTTTAGAAGAGTTTAGAAAACTGTACATAAAGTTAACAAAAACCAAGAAATGCAATGAATCTCAGTGAAGAGCCTCTACGAATAAAGTACATGAGTTTTAGCACAAACATAAACCAAAAAATCCAGAAAACAGGTTTGTTTGTTTGTTTTTTCCAAAATAGCCTTGGGGAAGCTGAAGAAAGCTTAATTAAAATAAACTAGAGCCTTGGGAGGAGAGAGCTGACCTGCAAGCATGAGGTTGGCAGGATGTCCTGCCAAGTTATGCTGAAAGGGGCCGGAGGAGCTCCCTAGTCAGTCTCAAGGTTGCTTCTTGGCATGTCAGATTAAGGCTTGAAAAACAAGTTCTGATCTAAAGTATCCCAGTTATTCTCTATCCCATATGAGCATCCCCAAAACAAGAAGTTAACAAAAATCACCCCGTCTAGGAACTGATTGGTTATTTGCTGTCGAGGTGATTTCAAGTCATGGTGATGTCATGTGTTACAGGGTAGATGTGCTCCATAGAGTTTTCTTGGCTGTAATCATTACAGAAGCAGACCACCAGGCCTTTCTTCCTAAGTACTGTCAAGTATGTACATACTGAAAACCTTTAGGTTAGCAGTTGAGCACAAACCATTTCTGCTACCCTGGAACTTTACTGACAGAAGAGAAAGTAGATGAAAAGCCAAGGCTTTCGTCTGCACTCCAGACAAATCAGTCAGTATATCCGTGAGAGAAATACAGACACCTTCATTAAGCTTTAACATAGGAAAATAAATACCATTTTGCAAAGTTTTCTTCCCAAATTGAAATTATGCTTACGTTTTAAAGGTATTATTCTGATCAGTAGCAGCAGCTATTTGAAAAACTTCTTCATTGGCATCTAGAAGCTGACTCACTGTTGTTACAGCAAGTTCTTTTGCCTGTCAAGGAAAAAGCACCATAGAACACACATCATACATTATCACCACCATCATCCTGAGCTATTGTAGTAGTAAGTGGCAACATTGGTATGGTAATCTAGGAATAAGTATTTTTCAAAATTAAATGCACATTTATTGGTCTATATAAGGTGGCAGAGAAAATAAAAATAAAGTGAAAATATAAATTGAGGCAGTCAGTTAGGAGACTTCGGTCTTTGAATGTGAGCTTCTGGCAAGGCCTTTCACAGAATATTCCCCTTATCCCCAAAAGCACAAAAGCAAAAGTCTCCATATAGAAGCAGAAACAAAATATGAAGAATACCAGGGCTGTGATTGTTAAAATATTACAATGCACAACAATTTGTATAATAGTATTACTTAAGAAAAGTCTTTCTAGGTTTTTTTACAACCAAAAAAAAAAAAAAAAAATCAGGGATATACCAGAGAAGTGATTTCTTCACCTTTAAAAACTATTTAACTGCCCTCTTTTGGGTGTTACTGCCCTTCTATCTTTATTGGCTAATTCTTCCATAGATTCCACAGATTTCCTGGTTGTTATTTTTCTCTTTCAATTCCATTTAATCTATTTTATGATTTGAAATCCACCTACTTTCCAAAGGACCTGGGGTGACATAAAATCTTTTTTGAGATAAGACTTTTAACAGGAATGGAACAAAAGACTTGATATTTTCAGACCATGCTGATACTCAACTGGATGACTCTGGGTCAGACTGTCCATGTTGGTGACATATAGCCATGCTTGACCAATGTCCAACCAGTACTGATTGGTAGATGTTGACTATTGTCCTATATTTCAGGTGCCATTATTTAGTAGATTATTTGAAATATAAACTAGGTTTAATATTTTTGCAAAGCTGAGATGAAAATGCAAATCTACTTGGTAGAAAGAGATCAAGTTTAAGACATCATATTCTAAAGTGAGTTCTTTGAAACGCCAGCTTTTTGGAATAGAAGAGAATTAACGTCAAATGTAACTGATAAACTTATTAATAAAGTGAAATAGACTAGCTTATTGACTTTCTGAAGATTTAACATGATAGCTGATTATGACTATCCCAAATTGGGAGCTCTGGTAGCATAGTGCCTAAGGCACTTGACTGCTAACCAGAAGGCTGGCGGTTCAAACCCACCAGCCACTCCTTGGAAGGAAGGTTGGGCAATCCTACTTCCGTAGTGATACTGCCTCAGAAACCCAAGGAGGGGTCACTATGAGTCGGGGCCGACTCGACGGCACATAACAACAACAACAACAAAGGTGAATATTTGAACAAGGAGCCCCTCTTTTCTCAATGTTGTTGTTAGGTGCCATGGAGATGTCTCTGACTCATAGCAACCCTATGCACAACACAACAAAACATAGCCAGGTCCCGCGCCAGTTCTTCAGTCCTTATTATACTTGAGCCCATCACCGCAGCCACTGTGTCAATCCATCTCGTTGAGGACTCTCCCCTCTTTCGTCGACCCTCCAAATTACCAAGCGTGACATCCTTCTCCAGGGAATGGTCTCTTCTGACAACATGGCCAAAGTAAGTGAGGCAAAGTCTGGCCATTCTGGCTTCCAAGAAGCATTTTGGCTACATTTCCTCCAGGAGAGATCTGTTAGCTCTATTAGCAGTCCATGGTACTTTCTGCATTCTTTGCCAGCACCACAACTCAAAAGCTTCAATTCTTCTTCAGTCTTCCTTATTCATTGTCTGGCTCTCAAATGCATATGAGGCAACAGGAAAATATCATGGCTTGTGTCAGGCATACCTTAGTCCTCAAGGAGACATCTTTGCTCCTCTGCACTTGAAAGAGGTCATTTGAGCCAACTTGCCAAGTGCTATACATTGTCTGATGTCCTACCTGCTGCTTCCATTGACGTTGATTATAGAACCAACTATTGTGAAGTCTTTGACAACTTCAATCTTTTCTCCATTTATCATGATACTGCTTATGGATCCAGTTGTAAGGATTTTTGTTTTCTTTATATTGAGATGTAATCCATACTGCAGAATGGATTCTTCAATCTTCATCATAAGTGCTTCAAGTCATCCTCACTTTCAGAAAGCAAAGTTGTGTTGACAGCAAATCGCAGGTTGTTAGTGATTCTTCCCCCAATCTTGATGCCACATTCTTCTTCATATAGCCCAGCTTTTCAGATTATTTACTCAGCATACAGATTGAATAAGTATGGGGAAAGGACACAACCCTGATGCACTCCCTTCTTGATTTTAAACCATGCAATGTCCCCTTGTTCTGTTCTAACAACAGTCTCCTGATCGATGCACAGGTTTTTCATGAGTCCAGTTAAGTGTTCTGGAATTCCCATTCTTCTCAATGTTATCCACAGTTTGTTATGATCCACACAATCAAATGATTTTGCATAGTCAATAAAACACAAGTAAACATCTTTCTGGTGTTCTTTGCTTTGAGCCAACATCCATCTGACAGCAGCAATGATATGTCTTTTCCATGTCCTCTTCTGAATCCAGCCTGCACTTCTGGAAGTTCTCTGTCATTATATTGCTGCAATTATTTTTGAATTATCTTCACTAAGATTTTACTTGCATGTGATATTAATGATATTGTTAGATAATTTTCACATTCTGTGCGATCACTTTCTTTGGAATGGGTACAAATATGGATTTCTTGCAGTCAGTTGGCCAGGTAGCTGTCTTCCAAATCTCTTGGCATAACCAAGTGAAGGCATCCATTGGTTGAAACATCCCAATGGTATTCTTTCAATTGCTGGTGCCTTGTTCTTTGCCAATTCCTTCAGTGCAGCTTTGACTTCTTCTTTCATTACCATTGGTTCTTGATCATATGCCACCACCTGAAATGAATAAACATCAACCAGTTCTTTTTGGTACAGTAATTCTGTGTATTGCTTCCATCTTCTTTTGATGTTTCCTGCATCATTCAATATTTTGCCCATAGTCTTTCAATATTGCAACTTGAGGCTGAAATTTTTTCCTCAGTTCTTTCAGCTTGAGAAATGCTGAGTGTGTTCTTCTCTTTTGGTTTTCTAACTCCAGGTCTTTGCACATATCATTTTAAATTACTACATATCATTACAAATTACTTTGTCTGCTTGAGCTGCTCTTTAAAATCTTCTGTTCAGCACTTTTATCTTGTCATTTCTTCCATTTGCTTTAGCTACTCTCTGCTCAAGGGCAAGTTTAGAGTCTCTTCTGACATCCATTTTTGTCTTTTCTTCTTTTCTCATCTGTTTAATGACCTCTTACTTTCTTCATGGATGATGTTCTTGATGACATCCTGTAATTCTTCTGATTTTCAGTCATTGGTGTTCAATGCATCAAATCTATTCTTTAGATGATCTTTAAATTCAGGAGAGATATATTCAAGGTCATATATTGGTTCTCATGGACTTGTTTTAATTTTCTTCAACTTCAAGTTGAACTTTCATGTGAGCAGTTAATGGTCTGTTCCACAATCAGCTCCTGGCCTAGTTTTGGCTGAAGATATTGAGCTTTTCCATCGTCTCTTGCCACAGATGCAATCAATATGATTCCTGTGTATTCCATCTGGCAAAGTCCATGTGTATAGCTGCCATTTGTTGAAAAAAGGTATTTGCAATGAATAAGTCATTGGTCTTGCAAAATTCTATCATGTGATCTCCAGCATTATTTCTGTCACCAAG